ATCTTCTAATTCCAGTTCTTCCTTCAAATCAAAAAAAGTTTTAGGCAATATTGAATTAAAAGCTTTACAGGAACCTTTCTTATCTTTTCTTGGATCTAAAACATCATTCCAATCTCCCAACATAATAACTGATTTGTAATCCATTTGATTTAACTTCCGATGAATCAGTTTATAAAACTGTTTCTGCTGTTGATTTGGAGCATATAATCCAATGATAAGACATTTCTTCCCATTCAAAGACATTTCAATAAAAACATATCTTCCTTCTGGATCAAAGTCAATCAATTTAGGCAAAAACTCCTTCTTAACATAAATAACTACTCCGCCTCTTTTCTGAGGCGCAGGTGCAGTAAAGTGTATTCCCAACCGTGAATTAATCAAATACTTTTGATCTTTCGCTGTAATATGTGTTTCTTGCAAACAAACAACATCATTTTTATGTTGCTTCAAATAGTAAAATATCTTTTTTCTTTTCTGCGGTGAATTCAAACCATTAACATTCCATGTCAGGAACCTTGCCATCTTTAGTGGCAGAGAGCCTCTGGAACGCCCCTTGCTAATCAGCCGTCACTGATCTCTTCGGTCTTGCTCCTCCCACTGACTCTGAGCTTACTTGCTGTGCTGTAGGTACCACATCCACTTTTTGTTGCTCTCTTTCTTTGCGTCTATGAGCTGCACAGGTCAATCTCTGTGATTTTGGGTCATCTTTAATTTCCAAAAGTTGTAGCTTAAGTTTGATCTTGATCTTGTGAATTAATAACACTTGATGATGATGTAGTTCCTTCAATAACTTTATCTTCAAGAATTCTTTCCTTCCTGGTACCTTGTGGAGACGCTGGTGAACCTGCTTTCAAAATTGAACTATAAAAATCCTTTGCCTTTGCCACCATATTGAGCCAATAACGTATGCCCATATAATTGACCATTATACCAGCAGGTATATCCCATCTGAATTGAATTTGTCGCACTTTCAACTCTTCAGCCAAAAAAGCAAAATCCTTCCTTCTTCTGAGTATCTTGGTGGTATTTCCTTTAGGATTATAACATCTTGTCCTAAAAGTTGAAATTTCTGCTTATAAAAAGCTTGAATAATTTCATTACGGATTGATTTTCTTGAAAAGTAGATAACAACATCTCTTGGAAGGTTTCTCTGTCTTGCAACCCATGAATTAACTCTAAAAAATTTTTCCATTTCTCTCATGATTTCTTCAGGTTGGCAGGACAAAACCAGGGCCAATTCTGCTGCAATTTCCTCTTCCAATTTTTCTTGGACATTTTCCCTCAGTCCTCTTATTCTCAACGCATATTCCATTTCTCTATATTGTGACATAAGGACCTCATTTTGAGTTAAATCCGCATTCTCTTCCACTTTCCCCAATCTAATTTCCAAAGTGTCAACATGTTCCTCCACTTCATCCACCCGCCCTTCAATGCGTTCTACATGGCCAGCCAAACCTTGCAATGCAAACAATATATCCTCTCTCATCTCAACATTTTTCTCTTCAAGTTTCTCTTCAAGTTTCTTTTCAAGCAGCTCGTCCATTTCACTTCTAATCTGTTTGGCAGTGTCCTTCAAAGCATCCTGTAAATCTTTCAATGTTAGTGCTGGAATTGGAGGAGAGGGCGGGGGAGTAGGTTTTGTCTGCTGTGGTGTTTGAACAGCTGGGGAGGAACTCGAACTTTTCTGAGGAACAAAAGTTCCCACACGCTTTGAAGCCATTTTACTTTCTCTTCTTCTCTTATAATTTCATTTATATAATATAATGTCAAATAAGATCTTGTGAAAACATCCAACAAAAGCAGAAGCAGAATGCTTGCCCAACCAGCAACAAAATAACCAAGTCTAATGCAATAGGAATCCAGCAGAAAGTAAAAGTAAAATTAAAAGTCTCCAAAAAGTAAAAGTCTCTGTCAAAGAGCAAAACGCCCTTCCGCAGCCATATTTTTTTTTTCCTCTTTAACTTAAAATGTCAATGAAGAAGCTTATTAACTTCAGAGTTAAAGGCTCAAATCCTTCAAATTTCAGACCTCCTGGATCGCTCTGTCTGCTCATAAAAATCTACTCACGATCTCCCAAAAGCAGAGGTTGAATCCACGTCTGGCTTCGTTCAAAGGAACGGAGGCAGCCTGAAGCGCGGAGAAGTCCCTGATTCCAGGGGAACTCACCTTCACCCCCACAGCTGTAAAACCATGAGGGCTAGGGAGTTCTACCCCTATCAGGGAAGCTCTCCCCCTCCCCTTTGCCCGGGGAAGGGGATTCCGAGCCGCGGAGCAGCTGTTAGACGCTGTTCCTGCGGCTCTTACGCATCCTCGGGGCGGACGGCTCGAAGAAAAGCCGCCATCGGCGCCGGGATCCAACCTGAAGTCGTTCTTGTATAGTTCTTCTGCGTAATTTTGCCACCTCTTCTTAATCTCTTCTGCCTCTGTTAGGTCCCTGCCATTTTGGTTCTTTATTATGCCCATCTTTGCATGTTCCCTTCATATCTCCAATTTTCTTGAAGAGATCTCTGGTTCTCCCTATTCTATTGTTTTCTTCTATTTCTTTAAACTGTTCATTTAAGAGGGCATTCTTATCTCTAGCTATTCTCTGGAATTCTGCATTCAATTGGGTGTATCTTTCTCTTTCTCCCTTGCCTTTCGCTTCCCTTCTTTCCTCAGCTATTTGCAAAGCTTCCTCAGAAAGCCATTTTGCTTTCTTGCATTTCTTTTTCTTTGGGATGATTTTAGTTGCTACCTCTTGTACAATGTTGCGAACCTCCGTCCATAGTTCTTCAGGCATTCTGTCTATCAGAACTAATTCCTTAAATCTATTTGTCACCTCTACTGTATATTCATCAGGGATATGATTTAGTTCATACCTGAGTGGCCTAGTGTTTTTCCCTACTTTCTTCAATTTAAGCCTAAATTTTGCAACGAGAAGCTCATGATCTGAGTCACAGTCAGCTCCTGGTCTTGTTTTTACTGACTGTATAGAGCTTCTCCATCTTTGGCTGCAGAGCACATAGTCAATCTGATTTCTGTGTTGACTGTCTGGTGATGTCCATGTATAGAGCCGTCTCTTGGATTGTTGGAAAAGAGTGTTTGCTATGACCATCATATTCTCTTGACAAAATTCTATCAGCCTATGCCCTGCTTCATTTTGTTCTCCAAGGCCAAACTTGCCTGTTATCCCGGTTATCTTTTGGCTTCCTACTTTAGCATTCCAATCCCCCGTGATGATAAGGATATCATTTTTTGGTGTTGATTCTATAAGGTGCTGTACAGCTTCATAGAACCGGTCAATTTCAGCACCAGTGGTTGGGCATAGACTTGGACTACTGTGATATTGAATGGTTTGCCTTGGATTTGCACTGAGATCATTCTGTCATTTTGGGGATTGTATTACTTTTCCTACTCTTTTGTTGACTATGAAGGCTACTCCATTTCTTCTGAGGGATTCTTGCCCGCAATAGTATACGTACCTGATGGTCCTCTGAATTAAATTCACCCATTCCTGTCCATTTTAGTTCGCTGATTCCTAAGATGTCGATGTTCAGTTTTGTCATCTTGTTTGACCATGTCCAGTTTGCCTTGATTCATGGATCTTACATTCCAGGTTCCTATGGAGAAAAGATCTTTACAGCATCGGATTTTCCTTTCACCACCAGATATATCCACAGCTGAGCGTCCTTTAGGCTTTGGCCCAGTCGCTTCATTCTTTCTGGCGCTACTAGTACTAGCGCTCTGCTCTTCCCCAGTAGCATATTGGACACCTTCCAACCTGAGGGGCTCATCTTCCAGCATCATATCTTTTTTCCTTTTAGTACTGTCCATGGGGTTTTCATGGCAAAGATACTGGAGTGGTTTGCCATTTCCTTCTCCAGTGGATCACATTTTGTCAGAATTCTCTGCTATGACCTGGCCATGGGTGGCCCTGCACGGCATAGCTCATAGCTTCATTGAGTTATGCAAGCCCCTTCTCCACGACAAGACAGTAATCCATGAAGGAGTAAGTAGGTATAAAACCAAAGAAATGGGCAACTAAGAAATATGAAATATAAATAAATTAGAATTCAATAAGCTAAAAGAATCATAGTAGAATACTGCAGCTATGCAATCTATTATCTTTTTGTTAATCAATAATCAAATAAAATTTGACCCAACATGTCCTCCTATGCTGTGATCAGGTATGTTGTTGCCAGTCCAGCGTATTGAAAGAGCAAATAAACATAGGACTGCTTATTTGTTCTCTCAGTACTCTGGACTGGCAACTTCATCTGTTAATCAGAGTGCCCACTAGGTGCATTTTTCTGCTCCACTTCAAATTATACTTTCAATATTAGCTTGCCTCAAACTCTCCTGCATATTTCAGATAGTGTGCTTTGGTTTATTGCAGTTCATTGGTGACTTTATAAATAGAAAGGCCCATCAAGAAAGCCATGATTAGCATAGCTCTAAAATATTTTGGAGCTACCTTCATTTTGAATGTTTTAATAGCAATACTTGGAATACTTGGCCTGTAAATAGAAGTTTGCTATTCACAGTATAATTTTATTATTTCTATTTTTCTTTCCTGGAATATTTTTTCCTGTGTGTGTCTGTGTTTCTAATAATCCAGTGATGCATTAACTAATTGGTTTTCCAGTCACGAGACAGGATTTCACCTTCATCTCCCAAACATATATATGAGAGAGATGGGAATTAAATCCTTCTATCCCACTTGAGTGGAAAAATAATGAAATAATAAAATATTAGAATTCTATTTTTTAAAAGTGATTTAAAAGGAGTTAGGGCTATATGAAAGGAAAATTATTGAAAAACTGTTATGTGTACAAGTGTGTGCATTTGATGCTTTAAATTTGTTATTGCTTTGTTAGGGTGTCTGTGTTCTTCTATGTTTTTAATTGTTTTTACCACTTTTTTGGATCTGGAGTCTGCTAGAATGAGTAGCCATCACCATTATCATTAATATCATTATTATCATCTAGTTTTCTAAACAGTGCTACCTGGTTTTTTTCCAGGATGTGGTGAAGAATTCTTTGAACCATCTGGATCTTTCCATAGCCCTGGCTATCCAAACAGAAACCCACAAAATAGGGAATGTTACTGGTATATTCACACAGCACCAGGTAGTAGCGTTCAACTGACTATTCTGGAATTTGATGTGGAATACAATTCAAGTTGTAACCATAATGTTCTGGAGGTAAGTGCTTTTCTTTCAATATAATAATAATAATAATAATGATAAAGTTGGAAGGGACCTCGGAGGTCATCTAGTCCAACCTCCTGCTCAGGCAGGAAACCCTATACCATTTCGGACAAATGGCCGTCCAGTTTCTTCTTAAAAACTTCCAGTATTGGCGCATTCACCGCTTCTGGAGGCAGGTTGTTCCACTGGTTAATTGTTCTAACTGTCAGGAAGTTTCTCCTTAGTTCTAGGTTGCTTCTCTCTTTGGTTAGTTTCCACCCATTGCTTCTTGTCCTGCCTTCAGGCGCTTTGGAGAATAGAATGCCCATGGCACTTAAAAAAACTATTCTTTGTATTATTTTATTTCAGTATTTTACATTTACCGGTATATTTTGTAAGCAAATTTGAATAGATTTTTATTTTAAAAAGTTACCCATGTTCAGATATATGATTAATGTTATAACTATTTCATGTTTTTAATTTTTGAGCCAAAACCTGGCTCAATCAACAGAATCCATAGAGGAAGTAAACAAAAGTAAAGTTGATAGTTATGCTACAACTCTACTCCTTTGAGAGTTCTCTGTATATCTACAATCTTGACATGTTTCTATATTTCTCCTCCACTGCTGAACTCATACTTCACTTTTAATTATGACCATAAATGTATTTCTTTGTCAAATGATAGTGCCTGTAATTCTTTTCCATCTTGCAATGCTTGGTTGTGACATTCTGCCACTTTCTCATTCTTTTCCAAAACCATGCACAAGATTTTAAAGAGATCTATATTGATCCATAAGGATAAGTATGAAATTCAATTATACTTCTGGCATTCTTTTTCTTGGTTTGGCATGACTTATACATAAATATGTGCAATGATCATAATAGCTAATACTTGTACATTGGAGTTCATCTTATATTGTTCATGTTTACCTCTGCAGAATTATATGATTTCATAAGAATATTTGCAATCTTAAATTGAATTAAATTATGTTAATGCAAGTATTAACATTAATTCCTACTTTTGTACCTAATATTTTTTTATTCATTTATATCAATCTTTCGCTACCAAGATACAGAGTTTTTCTGGTATGGCTGGGCATTTACATAGCTCCCATTATAATACAGGTTCCTTGTTTATTGCTGAGCAAACCTCAATACTATGTTGAGTTATTCAGCAAACCATCATTAAAAATACAATGGCTTATTTGTTATCACAATGTACAAAACCAGCCACTTGAATCCAAGGGAGTTGTCTCATATTTCAAAATATATTCACTTATCTATATATCCAATATTTAGGGAAATGATGCTCAGGATACCTTGAATGAGGTGAGGAAAGGACATAAAAGGCTGCTTTAAAAAGTCAAACTACAGTAGTCCTCAATTTACAACCATAATTGAGCCCGTTTCTGTTGCTAAGCAAGACAGCTATTAAGTGAACTTTACCTATTTTGTGATCTTTCTTGCCACAGTTGTTAAGTGAATCACTATAGTTGTTAAATTAGTAACATGGTTGTTAAGTAAATCTGTCTTCCCTATTGACTTTGCTTGTCAGAAGAATAGGAATAGAGTAGAGTAGAGTAGAGTAGAGTAGAGTAGAGTAGAACAGAACAGAACAGAACAGAACAGAACAGAACAGAACAGAACAGAATAGAATAGAACAGAATATCCTTTATTGGCCAAGTGTCATTGGACACACAAGGAATTTGTCTCTGGTGCATAAGCTCTCAGTAAACATACAAGCAACAAAGTGATAAATCATAAATCATAAGATAACAATCATAAATAATAAAATACAACCAACAAGGGATAGTCATAAGATACCAATAGGAGTAGGTAATAGGAAAGGTGAGAAGGATATGAGTCAGTTGCCAAGAGTCTGAATTTTGATCATGTGATCATGGGGATGCTGCAGTAGTTGTAAGTGTGAAAAATGGTCATAAGTCACTTTTTTCAGTACTGTTGTAACTTCAAACCATCACTAAATGAAGTTGTGAGTTGTAAGTCGAGAACTACCTGTATTGATCCAAATAGACTCGTATTACTAAGAGAGATAATTCCTGTCATGATTACAACATGTATAAAACATACAGCCTACTAGCTGGCATAGGGTCTAACAATATG